ACAAGCTTGAGGTAGACAGACCCCTAGCTCACTGACAGGTTTATGTCCATTGGTTATCCTCAAACTGGTTTAATTTGTCTGCTGAAATTGATTTTCTGGATGTGGCCACTGCACACGTGATAGCTTCTTGAAACCACAGGTGAGAGTTGAGTGTCAGGTGGACACTTAAAGGTGGATGGGTAGTCCTGAAAAGAGCTCAGTAAGCCCTCACAATGGAGGTGCTAGTCCTCCCTGAACATTTGTATACCCCATTTTGTTAGAGATCTCTTGGACAGAAGGATACCTTAGTTCAGGAAACCAATCTCAATATGGCAAGGAGGTATGCTAATAGCAATGGTGGCCTTTATAACTAAATATCTGCAGGTAGGTAGTAACCTGTGGTATAATAACACTTACTGCACTGTGTTAAATGCTATGGATAAAAAAAAAGTCCCAACTCTTATGGAACTTACATTCTAATAGGGAGGAACAACGCGCGTAGGGAAGTGGTGGCCAGGGATGGGAATTTCAGTCTGAGAAGTCACAGAGATGGAGAGTTGATGTGTCTGATATGCCCTTTCCTGAAATAATGGCACTATTTATTTCATTAATGTTCCCAGAGAAAGATGTGAAAAATGACAGGAGGGAAGAGATATGTATGTTGCAGCAGACAGATGACTTGGATGGGCAGCTGGATGGCTGGATGCAAGGTGAAGATTAAGCATTGTCTGGTTTCCTGGGCCAGTCAATAGATATAGTGGGCTAAGTGAAATCATTCTAGGAACAATGAGGGCTTTCAAGGATGAAATTCTGAAGACAAAGAGATATTTTGGTTAAGAAAATAAGGGAGGGTTGTATTTAAAACACTCTGCTATTGATTAGAGAAATGCAAATCAAAACAACTCTGAGGTACCACATTACACCTATCAGGTTGGCCAACATGACAAAACAAGAAAATGATAAATGTTGGAGAAGATGAGGGAAAATTGGAACACTAATGCATTGCTGGTAGAGTTGTGAAATGATCCAACCATTTTGGAGAGCAATTTGGAACTATGCCCAAAGGGCTATAAAAATGTGCATATCCTTTGACCCAGTGATAGCACTTCTAGGTCTGTATCCCAAAGAGATCATACAAATGGGAAAAGGACCTACATGTACAAAAATATTTATAGCAGCTGTTTTTGTGGTAGCAAAGAATTGGAAATTGAGAGGATGCCCATCAATTGGGGAATGGCTGAACAAGTTGTGGTATATGAATGTAATGGAATGCTATTGTGCTCTAAGAAATGATGAAAGGGCTGACTTCAGAAAAACCTGGAAAGACTCTTATGGTCTGATGCTGAGTGAAATGAGCAGAACCAAGAGAATGTTGTACACAATAACAGCCACACTGTGTGATGACTAATATTGATAAACTTAACCCTTCCTAGCAATACAAGGATCTAAGACATCTCCAAAGGCCTCGTGAGGAAAATGCTATCCACATCCAAAAAAAGAACTATGGAGTTTGAATGCAGATTGAAGCATACTATTTGCTATTTTTTTTCTTCTGTTGAGTTTTGTTTCCACTTTCTGGTGGTTCTTCCTATTGGTTCTAATTCTTACTTACAACATCATTAATGTGAAAATATATTTAATAGGAATGTATATGTATAGCCTATATCAGATTGTGTGATGTCTTGGGGAAGGTGATGGGGAGGAAGAGGGAGAAAAATTTTAAACTCAAAAGCATATGGAAGTGATTGTTGATAAATCAAAATAGATCAGTTTTAAAAAATGAGCAAAACATTCTGGATATATAAGAACTCACTGATCAACTTAGATTTTTAAAAGGCACACACACAAATATGCATATGTGTATATATATGTATATACATATGTATATATACACATATACACATACATACCTAAATGTATGTGTGTATACACACATGAAAGAAGATGAGGGTGGGGAACAAGTATACACACCATTAATGAGAATAGTGGACACAAATTGTGGTTCTAGATAATTTGGTGGTATTCCTGAGAAACAAGGCTTCATAGATTAAGGGGGTTTGACCTGGATTATTGAGCCAACTATGGTCAGTCTTTGCCTTCTTTACAATGTAGTGAAGTCAGTCTTCTTCTTATTTATGCAGAACATAATTATGATAATTCAGGGTCCTGTAGCTATTTGTCTCTAAATACAGTATGGATGGATGGAGCCATGTTTCCCTAACAAGAGTTTTCCATTTCCTCTTCCAAAAAGATACATAAGCATCTCACTAACTCATCACTCTGAAATATAATCTGTGATACCATGATTTTAAGAAGAGCTTCCCTTCCTTCCTTCCTTCCTTCCTTCCTTCTTTCCTTCCTTCCTTCCTTCCTTCCTTTCTTCCTTCCTTCCTCCTTCCTTCCTTCCTTCCTTCCTTCCTTCCTTCCTTCCTTCCTTCCTTCCTTCCTTCCTTCCTTCCTTCCTTCCTTCCTTCCTTCTTTCCTTCCTTCCTTCCTTGTTTTCTTTTTTAGTCTAGAGACAGAAAAGGTATTGGAGTGGCAGAAACTTGATTTTGGGGAATGTGGGTTTTCAATCAAAAGTGAAACTTTAGACCCAAATCAAAAATTTTTAGCAGGGGAAATGAAAAAATGCTATAGAGACTGCTATCAGAACTTTGTTCATTTCTGAATGCCACATTTTTCAAAAGACATGAATAATCCACAAAGCATTCAGTGTGAGGTGACTAGGATCATTTCACATGGCTGAAGGAACTAGACTTGGTTAGCCTGGAGAAGAGAAGACCTAGGAAGATCATTGTAGGAGTCTTTTGAGATTTGCCAGTTTGTCACAAAGAAAATCTTGGAGAACTAGTTCTGCTTGGTGCTAGAAGGCAGAATTAGGAACAACGGGTGAAAGTTGTAGGGAGACAGATTTGGGCATGATGTAAGGAAAAACTTCCTAACAAACAATGATAGGAATGGGCTGCCCTCATGTTTTGTTGATTAGTCATGTCTGGCTCTCTGTTACCCTATTTGGGGTTTTCTTGGCAAAGACACTGAAGTGGTTTGCCATTTCCTTCTCCAGCTCATTTTATGAATGAGGAAACTGAAGCAAACAAGGCTAGGTGACTTGCCCAGGGTCATATAGTTAGTAAGTATCTGAGGCCAGATTTAAACTCAAGTCTTTCTGACTCCACGTCCATTACATTACCCAACTGGTAATTACCTCTGGAGTCCTTTCCAACTCTAGATTTTGGTCTTATAATCATCTAATTCATGGGTATTTAACCTAGGGTCCATGAACCTGTTTAAAAATATCTTTACAACTATTTATTTGTAACTATTTATAAAAGTAATTACTTTATAGCTATAGCTACATATTTTATAGCTATAAGCATTTAACCATTTATAGCTACTCTTGTATATGTGTACTCCTATGTACTATTTCCACTATATTACACTATCTTTTCTAAGGTCTCTCTAAGGTGATAACTTGCATTTATTGGCATAGCTTTGACCAACATTCTCCCTATTATTCTCATTTTTCCAGATGAGAAAACTGAGGCACAGGATAACTGACTCATATAGTATCAAATAAAAAACTCATATCAAAGCTGTGATTATATTCCACAACCCTTATTCACCAGTCTGCTGCTGACCCCCCGACCCCGCCTCCTTGAAAAGATTGTATATTTTGGAAGTTTATCAAATGAGCTATTAATTAGAAAGAACTGACTGAAGATATAGAAGTAATAGGAAACTTGGGAGAAAATTACTGTGTTATCTTAGGAATCCACTGGGTATATTGATGCACGAACATAATTCTTTAATAGAACAAATTTCAAAACATGAGAAATACTTAATATTCTCCTGTTGATGTATAATAAATGCCACAATCTTAGAACAATTAAAATTCCAAGGAATCCAAAGGCAAAGGAAAGATGCATGGTGTGTACGAAGTGGGTATTGACAATGATACCTTTTAGGTAATAGTCTAAAATAACTCACTGAGGGGAGCTGTTCCCATAGCAAGAGTAAAAAATAATAGATGGTTAGCCACAAATGTAATGATATCCAGAGAATATTAAAAGTCCAGTGCATTGAAAGGATCTTCTTTGGAGGATTTATAGAAGGACATGGAAAAAAGTTGCATAGGATAAGAGAATGGATAGATGGGGTGGGAGGTGGGGGAATATGATCAGTGAAAGGAGTAGCCACACTGAAGTATCCATTGAAGTCTTGAAGCATGTAAATACTAGGTATGTGAGCCTGTGGATGAATGAATGAATGAGCATTTTAAAGTACTTAGACTATACAAAATACTGTGTTAAGCCCTGGAAATGCAAAGGCCCATGGTACATATGGTGTAGCAACAGATGGTAATGCATCTTTAATGTAGAGAAAGAGAATACCACTCACAGGTGCTAGGAAATTCTAAAAACAGAAATCCTAATTATACAACTGGAAAGGAACCTCATGAGAAAGAAAAGGGGGGGATATCTAAAGAAATCTAACATGAAGTATTTTGATGAAGTCACTGAAAAAGGACAATTGCAAAAGAAGAATGGAAGCTGAACACAAAGGAAGACACAACTAAGTTAAGATAGTGTCAAGAAGGCCACTGGAATGATGATGATAAAATAATAACAATAACAAAATCCCAGAAAATTCATCCAAACTCTATCGGACTGTTGCCCATAATTGCCTGGATATATCAGAGATTCATAAAAATTTAAGAACAATGTTATTTGCAGTACTTATAATCTCCACATTAACACAGAATAAAAAGCTTTCAATTTTTAGAACCCTGGCTGAGGATGTCAAAATTGCATGGGAACAAGATGAATTACCTAGCCTTCCCATTATCCTTTCTACTTCTAGATGTGTGCCAAGGATGCTTGCAGTGAAGTGTACAGAGGATGAGCTTACATCCTCATGCTCTTATTCAACTACAAACGCAGTAACTTTATCCATCTGTAGAATACGCCATAGAACACTTAATGTAAAGAATAAGAGCATGATTGTGCCTGGTCCCAGGTTACCTGAACCTACGGTTGTTCTGTAGTTCGCTTGGGAGCCAATTGTTGAGTTTTCAGTGTGAGGATTTGTACTTCAGAAATCGGTAACATCACAAATCAGGACTTCTTTTGTTGATTGTCTAGACATAAGGGAGTAATAGGGGAAAAAACATTAATAATTCAGATTAAACTTAAAAGTATGTTGTATATTTTTGGAGAGCCGGTTGCTAAACATTTCCCAGCACACTCCTGTCTGAATCCCATCAGAAAAAAAAGAACAATTAGATAATAATAATATAACTTAAAGCTTGGGAAGAGTTATAAAGAAAACTATGACCTTTGCCATCTCTAGATGTGAATTTAGTTAACTACAAACATTGCCCCAACACTTATCCCAGGGATCGTGTTCCTGCTATTTGAAGACATTGGCACTAGATGGAGACCTTACTCAGTTTTTGTATTAAGGCTAGTAGGCCATTTCTTTTTTTTCTCTTTTTTTGGGGGGGAGGGGCAAGGGAGGGGAAGCTCCACAAGTGTCTGCAGGAAAAGCTGTCAACTTTTGTTGTTTTTAGACTTATTTCATCTTTATTTTCAAGATACAAATATACACATGACAACTGCAGTTAAACGTGAAGATTTGGGAGGAGATGAGGAGGAGTTGTGTTGAGGACAGGCTTAAAGCTCTGTTTAGAGGGTGTCCCCTTAGCCTTAGTATGGTTTTAAGCTACTAAAACTGACGTCTGCACTAAGACTTTGAGGACATGTATGTATATGTGAGTTATTATTACGTGGAGTTTTATAAAAATTTCACAAGACATTTAAAAAATAACATTTGAGGCACTTTTTTTTTTAAGTAGCACACCATGGTCCTAGGGGGATTGACATTCCATTGGTAGGTACTAGATGGAAGCAAGAATAATGAAAATTGGAGGAAGAGGAAAAGCCGTGTAATCTATGAGTCTGGATTCTGGCTTATTCGTTGTGGTTCCTGAAACACACACCTTCTAGATTCCTTGTGCTTCTATTCCCATGCCCTAGTTAAGAGTCTGCACTGTTTTATTTGGGTGTAATGCACTGGGAAGGAAGCTAATTGGCTGAACTTCTTCTGAGGTCACAGATTTCCCAGTTTCCATTATTATGATGTCAGTTTCCTGAATGCTATGTTAATAAACAATAGAAAGAAAGACAGAATGGGATTCAGGAGAGGCTCAGGTGACTATGGACAAGTTACAATCACAGCCTCAATTTCCTCATCTGTAAAATAATGATAACCTCTGTAGTACTGAGCTTTCAGGGTGGTTATGAGGTTCAAGTTAGATAATGTATGTAAATTGATTTGCAAACCATGTTATCATGAAAATCAGTCCTGGTGTCTGTGAAGCCATTTGGTTGAAGGAATAACTACTTTTAACCTTCCCCCCAAGAGACAGCCAATCTGAACAGTGTGTATCTCTGGCTATCAAAGTAAATCAAGCCAGTGAAGTTATTGCCCCATTAGTCCAGGCCAAACAACTGATTTTTGCCTCAAATACGTATGCAGCTCATTAAGTCAAAAGATACTTGTTCTCTATTAGCCATGTGAAATTTGCCCTGGTATTCTACTGCCTTTTATATTTGTAGAAAAAACCTTAAGTGTCCAAAAGTTTTTTGCCCTGGTTTTTCTTTTTCTTTTTTTTCTCTATCCCTATTTCCCCTTAAATCTTATTCTATATTTCATTTTTTACCAGCTCTTTGGAGGCTCAGGATTTGGGCCATAAGGGAAATTGCCTGAATTTTTGTAGCTCTTCCAACTCTGATGAAATTTATAAGTTTTTCAAAGTTCTCCCAAATAGCTTATTCTTTTGAGATTTCCCAGGCCCATGCCAGCAAATTATTAGGACAAGAGCAAAAAATGTCCTTAAAAAAAAAAGAGCACTAGAAAGGAACTCCAGATTGCTCCCCCTCACCCACCTTTAATGAATGAAAAAGCCCTCACAGATGATCTAAGTCTTTTCCCTCAGGGGATTTTCAAATTTGAGGGGGAGCCCAATCCTTATTTGGGGGATGCAGGAGTCCACCAGGCCTATTCTTCTCTTCTTCTCCTTTTCTGACCCAGAGCCCTGCCCTGGGCACCCATAGGCTTTTCTCCAAAGGAGGTTCACCGTTGAAATTTCCAATGGTTTAAAAGTATTATTAGAGCCACAATTGAAACAGTCTACCTTTAAGTCCACTGTTTTGTTTTTGTTTTTGTTTTTGTTTTTTAACTTTTACTCTAATTTGCAATTTGGAGATTCTAGACTCCTGCCATATATGAGAAGGCAGTTGAAAATTATTGGAACTTTAATTGAAGGCAATATTTCTCCTTCTGGACTTTGGATACCTCATGAAGATACAGGGAAATAAAAAATTGTTAAATATTTCCCTATTACATGTAATTTTTTAAACATTAATTTTTAAAAAGTTTGAGTTCTAATTCTCTCCCTCTCTCCTACCCCTCCCCTACCTGTTGAGAAGGTAAGCAGTATGATATTAATTGTACATGTACAGTCATGCAAAACACATTTCCATATTAGCCATGTGGATACAGAGAAATTCTGACTGAGTTGTGGATACCAGAACTCTAAAATCCAAATGGTTTAGTGGTGCTTATAATAGAGAACTGTGGCATATTTGCAGAGGTGGCCTGGAGCCAGCTTGAATGGGCTCATGAGAGCCCATCATGATGTTTTTAGTATGAGCATCTGTTTCAGAAATCAGCAAACTACAGATCAGACCTTGGTTTGTTGTTTTGTTGATTGTATAGACTTAAGAAAGGGATGGAGAAAATTTTAATAATGCAGATTAAACTTAAAAGTGTGTTGTGTGTGTGTGTGGGGGCAGCTAGGTGGTGCAGTGGATAGAGCACTGGCCCTGAAGTCAGGAGGACCTGAGTTCAAATGTGGCCTCAGACTGAACAATTGACAGTTACTAGCTGTGTGACCCTGGGCAAGTCACTTAACCCCAATTGCCTAAAAAAAAAAGTTCCATAAAAAAGTGTATTGTGTGTACTTTTTTCCCACCTGAGAGCTAATTATTTAACATTTACCAACCCACCACTGCCTACATGAGTGGGGCAGGCCTGCCTTCCTTTCCTCATAAACCTCTCCCTGGGCTTTATTTATCATTTTCTTCCTCTTGCTTTTAAAAATCTGAGAGGAAATACTCAGGAATCATCATTGCTGAATAGGGTTGAAGGTAGTATCAAAAGAAAAGCAGAGGATAACAATAGCCAGAAGGGCGAGACTATGGGTTTTACTTGTTGATATGGGCCATTCTGTTAGCAAGAGAGTGTAGGTGCTGTCACCGTGGGCCAGAAGCAGAACACTGGACCTGTTGGGCTCCAAGGGAGAGTGAGAGTATTTGGGACAGAGTAAAAGGGAAAACTAGACCAATTTCTGCTGAATGGCGATGGTACATCTTAGACTATTTTGTGTGAAAGAATGATTTGCTTTGAATCTAGTGTTCTTATCTTTTTTTTTTTTAATTTATGTGCCATGAAGTCATTTAGCCACCTGAAATAGTCTATGGACTGCTTAGAGTTATGTTTTTAAATGCATAAAATAAAATTCACAGGATTGTAAAGGAAACCAATTGAATTAAAATATTTTAAAAATACCAAATATTTAAATATTAAAATACCAAATAGTTAAAATACTAAAATATTTTTGATATTTTGGTATTTGTGTTTTATTTGTTTTTTTATTTGTATTTTATTGGTGTTTATCAAAATCATTAAATATTAAAATGCCAAATACTTAAAATATCAAAATATTTTTAAAAGACAAGTTCAGAGACCCCAGGTTAAGAACCCCTGATTTAAGATATGGGGAGTCATGGGATGAAAGGTCAGACATACCATACTCACTGTAGTCTTGGCCTAACACTTTAAACCAGGAGGAGGGAACTTTAAGGAATTGAGGAAGACATCATGACTGGTGAGAGCTAGGTCATTGCTGCAAGTCTCTGGAAAAGTGCATATGATGTTCAAGATAAACAAGAATTCTCAGGATGACCAAGACATCCACTTGAAGGTAAGAGCATGGTGCATTTTTAGGACGATGAGAGTGGGGAATTAAGGGGTAATGACATATTTGGCTCATTCACCTAAGGCTGAGTTGGTTGCATTACAAGGTCTCAGGTGCCCTCTATTTGGCAAGGTTGCCTATGTGTTTCTGTGTTCATTAATATCCAGTGGCTGAATGGAGACATGTGTGCTCACCTTGCAATCTGAGAGAGAAGCTGGGCTCAGGTGCAATATAACAGCCAGTCCTCTTGTCCCAGTGACAGATGTATTTTGACTTTATTTAGGCACTCTTTTCAACTGGGGTCCATTTCAGTCTTAATCTACTTTTTTTTTCTGACTTTGAGATGGAGGGCACTTAATAGGATAGTTCAATCTATGGGAATCAAGCTGGTTAAATTAGGTGGTAGAATTGAGGAATGAACAAAGAAAGCACTCATATAATTACTATGTGCCTGATAACTGATGTGCCTATGCTGATAACTCCCAAATCTTCAGCCCTGCTGTCATTTTCAGCAAAGTCAAGTGGAAAGACCCGGTTTCAAGTCTTGGCTGTACTATTTTGCCACCTTGAATAAGTCACTCAACTGAGTGTCATTTTCCTCATCTGTAAAATTAGGGTACCGATCTAGTCCAACACCGCCCCATTCCCCAATAGCCTTATTGTGTCCCCATCTTTCTCCCCCAACAAAGCCTGGTGTCCTAAGGTTCAAGGTTACCCACCCCTGACTGAATTTGTCTTAAAAAGCTGATTTGTGGTGCCATGTGTCCCAGGTACCAGAATTCCTAGTATGTCTCTGACAATGATTGTGATCCTCATTTTACAGATGAAGAAACATCTGTAAAATTAGGGGGTTGCACTAAATGACCTCTAAAATCTCTTTTCCAGCTTTAAACCCAGTGACTCTTAAATCTGAACCTTGACATTCAGTTGCCTGATACAAACATCTCCAATTTGGGCATACCACAAACAACATATTTTTTAAAAGTTCACCTTTTCCTCCTTCCTCAAGCTGGTTTCTTGTCTTTGCTATTTCTATCAGTGGTATACCTATTCTTCCAGTTTCTCAGGCTCAAAACCTCATAGTGGTCTCTCATCTCTTCTTGACCACGATGTCAGACAATTGCTAAATATTATTACATACCCGCTTTACGGATGAGGAAATTAAGTCTCAGACAGGTTAACTGACTTGCACATGGTCACCCAGATTGTAAATTTGTAAGCTAGAACTGAAACCTGCTCTCCTGATTTAAGCCTCTTTCCACTTTACCACATTTTCTCCTAGAGGCAGCTAGGTTGCTTAGTGGATAGAGTGTGGGGGCTGGAGTCAGGAAGACCTGAATTCAAATCCAGGCTCAGGCACTTAGTAGTGTGTGACCTTGAATAGGTTGCTTGACCTCTATCTGCCTCAATTCCTTGAGCTGTAAAATGGGGAAAATAATGGCACCCATCTCCCAAGGTTGTTGTGAGGATCAAATGAGATATTTGTAAAGTGCTTATAAGGCACAGTGGCTGGCATGCAGTAAGCACTCAACAAATGCTTGCTCCCTTTCTCCCCTAGCTAGTCTTCTTTTTTCCACTGTTGCTCTTTTCTAATCCCTTTTACACAGGGCTGTCAGAAGAATCTTCCAAGACTTCTTCCACAAAGTCACTGCCCTGCTCAAAAATCTTCAATGGCCCACTTTTGCTGTTGGAATAAAAATCATTCTTCCCATCTGGGCATTCAAGGCCCTTCCAAACATTGTCTGCTCTAGCCAAAATGCTTGTCACTGTCTCCTAAATAACCCTTCTGCTTTTCTGCCTTCACTTTTTGCTTATATGGTTCCACTTGTATAGAATGTCCATGGTTCCCCACTCCCAGTTTCCTGCCTGGGCAATCGTAGCCATCCTTCCCAACTTAGACAAAAATGCCACCTTCTCTGTAAAACCTGTTCTGACCACTCGAGACAAACGCAATTCATCTCTGCCTGGAGTTCCTAGAGCAGTCATTAGCCATGAGATAAAATGGACCAGTGAATCACGTGTAGCACAGAAATGCTGAGCCTTGGAGTCAGGAAGATCTAGATTTCAGATCCTGCCTCTGATGCTTCTTGGCTCTGGGACCACAAGCAAATGACTTAACCTCTAGGAGCCTAATTTCCCACCCAGGAGTTCCCTTTTGTTGATGAAATCATAATTCTGAATATTCGTGTATATGCTGCCCACATACTGTTTTATAAGTTTTTGCTGTTGCCACTACCATCTGACATCTGATCCAGTGAGCATTTACGAAATGCTAACGATGTACAAGGAATTGGACTGAGAACAGGACATACACAGACAAGATGAATAATGGTTGCTGTTCTCAAAGAGTTTACATTTTACCAATAACTTTTCTATTTTGGTCTTGAACAATAATGAAAAAATTTAAAAACAGTTTAATCTTGTCACTTATTCCAAACTAAATTGTAAATATTTTGTGGGGCGGGGTATACCCCTTTCTTTTATATCTTTGAGTCCCCCACAGTGCCTAGCACAAATTAGGTCTTTAGTAAATATTTCTAAATTGAATCTGTTTTCTCATCAAAAAAGCTGCCTTAGAAATACCAGTACAGGAATTATATATATCACCTCACAACTAGAAAAAGTGCTTAGAGATCATCTAATACCCCAAACCTGCCTCCTTTTATGGATGGGGAAACCAAGGCCCAGAGAGATGAAGTTATTTTTGGAGGTAAAACAGCTCCAGGGGTAGGGAAGCTGCGGCCTTAAGGCCACACTGGTTCTGTAAAATCTGCATTCAGTCACAAGGTCGCCCTTAAGGATTTAGAAGGCCACATGTGGCCTTAAGGCCACAGGTTCGCCACCCCTGAGCTGGTCACTTCCAGTCTTGAGCTTTCCCTATCCCCTTTGCTCTTTCCACCATCCCGGGCTCTTAATCTCTTTTTAGGCTCTAGATCTTAACTGGTTTCAGCTCACCTAATGCAACGCTTTTGCAGTATTAATGATGTGGTAAAAACCCAACCATTTAGTTTATTTTTCCTTCCTCTCCCCTGAGGGCTTGGTCTCCAGAGTCAATAACTTTCTCTCCATCTGCCTCATAAACTGCATTTTACATACTGCCTGTGGCAAAAGGCTGTAAAAGCAGGAGCCTGACAGGCCCACAAAGTATAAACACCATTTATTTTGTCTCAAGTTATTGTAACCTGCCTGATAAGGTGGAAAAGATCCCCCATCAGGGATCCCCCCTTTAACCTCACAGCCTGCTTCATTCAGCTATAATTGTGTTGGGTTTTTTTTTCTCCTTTTGCTTGTTGGGTTTTCTTAGAGGCTGGGGGTGGGACTTTGTAGGAGAAATGAAATGCTCTCATTTGTATACACAGAATGTGTCCACATTATTGATGCTTAAAAAAAACCCGAGCCACTCTTAAGAAAGCATGTAAAAAGAATTGTTTTTCCTCCCTTGTATTTAGAGAATGTTGCATGTGAATGTAAGCAAGACTGTGGGGGAACATTTGAAACGTAATAGTCCCTTTAACAATGGAGAGATTCCAGACCCCTGGATTCTGTTGCCTTGGACTAGTTCAGATAAGAGGCTGGGAAAATGAATTATTAACAACATATAAATTAAATGTATAAACATATGTATGAACATATAAATACCATATAAACATATAACAATAAAAATAAGAAATAACACATATAGTGCTTTATAAATTCTCTCTCATTTGATTTTCATCATAGCTCTGGAAGGTAGATATTATTCCCATTTTACAGATGAGAAAACTGAGGTAGACAGAGGTGAAGGGACTTGCCAGGGTTACAATGCTAGTAAATGTTTGAGGCAGGATTTGAACCCAGATCTTCTGACTCCAGGCCTGGAGCTCTATCAATTCTGTTTCTAGCTACCTAACAATAACAGTTGTTATTACATAACACTTCAACATTTGCAAAGTGCTTTACAAGCAATGTTTTATTTGTATCTCATGACAACCTATCTAGCACGTATGACAGGTATCAGAGCTGTAACGAGGTCAAGGTGAACAGACATTTGTCCCAGGGTACTGAAATTTACAGGTGCTTGTTACCAGCAGTTGGCCTCAAACAGATAGAAAGCACTGAATTTAGCACCTAGTTAGTAGTAAGAGCAAAAATAGGAAGCCACCACATGGTCTTCTCTCCCCAGACAGTCAAGTTCTATGTGAACTTTGGTCCTACCCTCCTTTTCCCAGTAGCCTTGTGGTGTTCCTGCCTCTTTCCTCCAACAAATCCATGTGTCCCTAGATTCAAGGTCTCTTCACATCCCTCCCCAACTGAATTTGTCTTTTAAAAAAAGTGTTGTGCACCCCAGGTACTGGAACTGTTTATATGGCTCTGACAAATATTATTACCCCAATTTTACAGATAAGAAGCAGTCTCAGACGGGCTAAGTGATTAATTTACCCAGTTACATAGCTCATGTATCAAAGTTGGGCTAAAACAGTGGCCAAAGTTTACAGCGCACAAGACTAGTGAAGCCTCTGAGAATGTCTAGTCTGTGAGGATTTTATTAGACTTTTCAGGGCTCCCCAACTCCAGATTCTGCACAGTATCCATTCTAACACCCTGCTCCTCAAGAGGAATGGGTGCTCTTTGACTTGAGGTAGATGCTCCAATGCTTTATGCAAAATATCTCAATAGTCTTCACGTATCTCTGCTCAGATAATTAAATGTCTGCCTCCTGGAAGTATTTCTAGCCCTTCTCTACTCTTTGCAGTAGGGGCTGCTAGGTGGCACCACAGAGCACTGTGCTGGGTCTGGAGTCAGGAAGATCTGAGTTCAAATCCTGCCTCAGACACTGACTGTGTGACCTTGGGCAGGTCACTTTATCTTTGCCTACCTCAGTTTTGTCATTAGCAAAATGGAAATAATGACAGTACCTCCTTCCTAGGGTTGTTGGAAGGTAAATGGAATAATGCAAATCTTAAAGTGCTGCATAAATGCAAGCTATTATTAATAGTGTTATTTTCTCCAAGTAGCGAAATGAAGATGTTAAAAAAGATATTAACAAACAAGCAGCTGAACACCTTCATCAGATGTTACCTAGAGTCAGATGTACATTGAAAGCCTGTTGAATGAGTTAAGGTCCCTGGTTTTGTCTGTGAGTCCAGGGGTGGGAACCTGCAGCCTCAAGGCCACATGTGGCCCTCTAAGTCCTCAAGGGCAGCCCTGTGTCTGAATCCAAACTTCACAGAACAAATCCCCTTAATAAAAGGATTTGTTCTGTAAAACTTGGACTCTGTCAAAAGACGGCACTAGAGGACGTAGAAGGCCACGTGTGGCCACCAGGCCGCATGTTCCCCACCCCGTGTACCTTATGTTGATAATTTGCCAATTGAAAGAATGTTCAGAGAATGGGAGCATTGTAACTAGCTGTTATTTAATAGTTTGAGTTGTACTCCGTTCTTAATATAGGATAATAATAATAATGATAATGTTTGTCCTTCATTTTCAAAGAGGACCAATGATAGCATGGGTGATGTCTTGACTCGTACGTGAATTGGATTTAAATGAAGCAGAGTTGCACAAAGTCTTCAGCCTCACTCTTTCCTCCAGAGTCATCAAAGTCCAGTGCCAAGACAAAAGTTAAGATGACTGGCAATGACTTAGGATGCAGTGGATGACCTTGGCATCTTTGAGTCTGACCGAGCTCTCAATGCTCCATAGTGTCTGCATTAGCCACCTTCATGGCTACTGGAACAAATTACTCTCATCTGCCTATTCCACTAGGGAGAAGTCTTCACATGCTTGGAGGAGACATCCCCTCATTCACTGATGGGTTTGAGGCCTGTTGGTTACCCTCAATCTGATTTAGCCCATCTGCCGAGATGGTTTTATAGTAGTGTGGTCAATGTACGTGCAAGAGCTTCTTGGAGCCATAGGTAAGATGGGCAGGGATGGGGTGTTTAGGGAGGACTAGCACGTCTGATGTGAGGGCTTGCTCAGCCCTTTTCAGGCCTGCTTATCTACCTTTGGAGTCCACCTTCACCCACCTCCCAATAATAATAATAATAATGCTAACTAACATTTATGTAGAGGTTAATGTCTTGGGCACTGTGCTATATTAATGTACCCATTTAAAAAAAATTTTAATTGATATTCTTAACTAGACAACTATCAACAATTAAGCATTTCTTTCTGTATATACATATATAATGTTATAAATCTTTTATCAAAATTTGCATTAAAAAAAGATATACTAGTTTCAAAGCTGTCCTATTTGTCCATGTCTTTTGAGCCTCCTACCATTCTCTGCTTAAAAAAAAAAAAGACATTCTGCAATGACCCCCTTTTTGGAGGGGGGCATCACTATCCTTTTATAATCCACCCTGCCAGGTCACTCCCCATTTACAACCAACAACCCCCCTCTTGTGATACATAAGCATTGTTAAGTAAACCAAATCCACCCATTGGCTGTGTTTGAAAAGACATGTAGCAATCTGCTCCTCAGGTCCCCTACCTCTCTGATAGGCAATGGGTTGCACACTTCCTCATGTTCTTTTCAAGTCATTGGAAGTATTAATTTCAAATAAGAGTAAGTTCCCCTCCTCTTAACTTCCCTTCTCATCTGAAACTTTTTATTAAACTTCTTTCCCTCACACTTCCCTTCTTCACTTTTGATTGGGCTAGATATTTAACGCATTGGCCATGATAACCTGAAGCTTCTCAGATACCCCACCAGATCCCAGCCTTTCCCTAGCTGGGCAACGTGGTTTGGGCCCCATGTACCGAAGAATTAGGCCTGTAAGTCCAAAAGTTCTTTTGTGTTTTGTATGTGTCCAATTGCATTTCAAAATAAAAACATGCATCACCTTTGTGTTATGCCTTATTTTGGTATCAATCATGACTTTTCTCTCCACTATTAGTATAGATGATGAGTTGACTGTCAAATAATGTGATTAAAATCATACTGACACATTCTGTACTATTCAAACTGTAGCTCCTTGTATTCTGTTTTGGTCTCTTTAATTGGGTCTTTTTAAAAAGTAAATGGAAGGGCCTTAGCATAATAGTTAAAAGTTTTGAGTTCCCTTTTTGTAGCTAAGAAAAGTTGGAATCTTTGCTGCCAGGCTTCAGCAGCAGGGAGCTGTTCCTTCTGCTATTAAGTGTTGGCTTGAAACAGCATACGGCGAGATATGTAAAAATCTGTCTTTCTTGCAAAATGTTAGGTGCTGTATGTCTGCTGTGTTTGACTAAAATGCCAGCCTGTACTGATTGTGTTAGTGAATTCCTTAGCTGCTGTTCTGCTCTGGGTTTCTACATCACTATATTTGTCTTAGAATGTAAACTCTGGAATGACAATGCCCGCCATCTTGGATTTACCCTGGTATTCTTGTACCTGCTTTGAAAACAAACACACAGGGGCTCTGGGTCTTGTGATAAGTGCAGTACTCTAGCGGATGTTAAAAATAAGGAGGCCCTCTGTAGATCATAGTCCTTAGATATTTCATATCGTCATGGATGTTACAAAGGAAAAACGAAGCATCTCAATTTTGTCTTTAAATCTGTAAACAATGGAAGACTTTTCTCTAGTGCTACCATATAACACTCACAGAGAAGAGAGAGAAAATCCTGTTTTTCTTTATAAATTGTTAAATTATATTCAACAGAACTTGTATCCCTGCTATTTAGCATAGTGCCTGACACATAGTAGGCATTTGATACATGCTTGTCAATTGACTGAATAAGCATCTGCTATGTATACAGCGCCGTGTCAGGCTCCCTAGCTATAAGCTAGCAATTCTGGGACCTTGGGACAAGCACCAGAAAACATACTCCAAAGTAAACAGTGTTAAGAGCAACCTTAAATCAACTTTTAAAATTAATTTGATTGAGGGAAGAGACCTTGGGCCTCTGTACTCAAGACCTCATAAAGAGAAAGGAAGAGATCCCAGGACTGTGAGGGCACTGCTGGACACAGCAGCAAGACAGGGTTAGGTTGGGAAGAGACTTCTCTGGGCTTTAGTTGTCTCGGTGTGGGGAAGCATGCACCAGGTAGCTTCATATTTTAACTGGGTCTTACTAACTGTGGGCCAAGCTCAATTCTTTTTACCTGCTAAAATAAAAGCACTGCCAGCATCCTCTAAATTTGTTGCCCTGGATAAAATTCTCATTGTTCCTCCTACTCTGCTATTGCTAGCTACTATTACTGATCTTCTGGGGGAAGATAATAATTTTTAATAATAATAATAATGATAAATAACATTTATATAATACCTTAAGATTTGTAAGGCACTTTACAAGTATTATCTCATTTGATTTTTACAACAACCCTGGGAGGTATGTGCTGTCATTAGCCCCATTTTACAGAAGAGAAAACTGAGTCAGACAGAGGTGTGACTTGTGGTCATACAGCTAGTTAAGTGTTTAAAGCCATATTTGAACTCAGGGCTGCCTCATTCCAGGTCTATTGCTGTATCCACTGGGTCACCTAGCTGCCTCACTACTGGATGAAAAGTTCCATGAAAGTAGAGGCCATATGTTATTTAAGCATAGTACAGTAGAAAGCACACTGGACTTACAGTCAGAGAACCTGGGTGTGGGGCAGCTAGGTGGTGCAACAGATAGAGTACTTGGCCTGGAGTCAGGAAGACTTGAGTTCAAATATGACCTCTGACATTTACTAGCTGTGTGACCCTGAGCAAGTCACTTAACACTGTTTGCCACAGTTTCTTCATCTGTAAAATGAGCTGAAGAAGATACCACTCCAGTATCTTTGCCCACAAAGCCCCAAATAGGATATGAGGAGATGGACATGACTGAAATAACTGAACAACAACAATCTGGGTTTAAAATCTGACTCTTCCACTGTGTGATCCTGGGCAAGTCACTTAACTTCTCTGGTCTCAGTTTCCTCCTCTATAAAATGATTTAGATTAGCTTAGAGCTCTAAATCTATGATCCCATTATATCCTGCCTACTATGCATATTCCACAGCATACAAAACATTTTAAAAATTCTGTTACTTTAATATCATTGAAGTCATAGGATTTATTTATTATATGTTATCATAATAAATTATCCTTCTTTGTTTTTTACACCTTGACAACGCACCAGTAACTTGCCTATCTTCCATGGCCCACCCAATAAACTCCCTCCTTTGTGATAAAAAAAGAAAAACAATAAAGCAAAATCTGTCAGTCCCTTGGAGCTAATAGGATTAAAAGGTAGAAGAGATCTCACAGGTCTTGTAGTCTAAGACAGAGTGAGGAACATGAATCCAAACTTCACAGAACAAATCCCCTTAATTCCCACCCCTGGTAAAGCCTCCATTTTACAGAGGAGGAAACTGAGGTCCACAGAGATTATTCTTGTGCAAGGTCAGTCAGTAAGTAGCAAAGGCAGGATTTTAACCCGCACCTTCTGACCTCCAGAGTCAGCGCTTTTCTCCCCATACTAGGTCACAGTCTTCACCATGTCTCCCTTCTCTGTGGCCCCCTAGGTCTTGCTCCACCCCACCCCTGTCTAAAATCATTTCCCTTTCTGATTTCACTCTGAAAGTGAAGTCTCTCCAGTTCTCCTTACCTACCAGGTAAGACTGGAAGACAACTTTTCCTGGAGATTTAAATGTGAGAACAACTGTATGGGTTTATTTAGGTCAGGGATTCTTAACTTGGGGTCTATGAGCTTATTTAATAATTTTTTTTATAACTATATTTCAATATAATTGATTTCCATTATAATCCAATGTATTTTCTTCAATGCATTTAAAAAATATTCCGAGAAAGGCTTTACCAGATTGCCAATCCATGAAACAAAACTAAATGAAGAACCCCTGCATTAGGCAGGTGCTGGCCTGCCTGAAAGGTAGTGGGATAGAGCAGATGACCGCTTGAGATACTTCTCCAAACTACAGCTCTGGTGTTGCTTGAACATGAATCGGCCTCATGGAAATTGTGAGGAAGAAGCAGTCAGTGACTAAAGCTAGTGAGTGGGAGTATTCAGCATTTCAGGAGTGCCAACATTGCTCTACCTAATTAGAAAAGAGAGTACAACATGTTACCACATTGAAGAATCATAATGGCTTTTCCCTCAACCCCAAGCACTTCCTCTGGAACAGAAGGGAGAAGACTCACCCTGCTTTGCTGACTGGAATTTTAGCCTCGTTTCTCTGTCAGGCTGTCCTGAGAGCAGAAGCAGCAGTGCCAGAGACATACAGAAAGTAAGCAAGGAGAAAAAGAAGATGACTGGTTACTTTGGACTTAGGATGCATGCCTCTCAGCTGGGACTCTAGCACTTCATATACATTACCCACAGAAAGTGGTATTATCCTCATTTTGCAAATGCCTCCCATTTGTGATACATACAGTGGTTATGAAAGGCCCCCTCAAGGTGGAGGGAAAGCCAAACGTGTAGCCCCAAACAGCCTAGAGGGCTCTGGGTAATAGAGACACAAGGAGAGGGCCTCTAGTTCAGATAGTTCTGAATCTCTTTAGATAATAAGCCTTCCCTGGAACACTTTTCCAAATGGCAGGAAAATCTTTTCTCCATCCAGGTTGTTGCAAAAAGGCTGCGTTTAACAGAGGAAGACAAAACTCTAATTGACTTCTCCTAAAGCTGAAAAACAAAAGTGGCTGTATTCCTTTCTCTTGGCCAAATGTTTATAATTGTCCCCTTGGGATTCTACCTTGAGGGAAGCTGCAAAATGGAACATTTTGGTTCAAGGGTTCTAGTTACAGACTCAAGGTTTATTTTGATCCTATCTCAGAGGGCATTAATACCATCAAAGCAGAGGCAGGTGTGTGAAGGGAGCTCTGTCCCAGAACATTATTAGACCCTGGGGCTTGAGAGGTCTCAGAACTTGTCGTTCCTAAAATAATGGGATAGGACTCAGTGCTTCTCCATTCCCCAAAAAGAAACAGACTGGCTTTACTGAATATCTGCTCTCCTGCTCAGCCTTTTGTTATCACCATTTAATGAACATTTCTTCATTAATGTAGTTCCCGTCTCATCCATGACCAGCACCTTTTCTGAGTCAACAACAACTGAAACTTATATAGAGCTTTAATATTTGCAAAGTACTTTATATCTGAAATCTCAATGAGCCTCTTAATAATCCTGGGAGGTAGGAACTCAATGTATCTGTGATTGATGTGAGAAGCATCTTTTCCAATGTTACAGAGTATGACTCATCATGATTTCCCGTCCTGTTGAAATGAATGAAAAACCCTGAGACAGAGTTTCTGGGTTATTAATAGTCAATTTATTAATTAGGCTAGCCCACAATCAATAAAGTGATAGTTGTTTCTCTCGGCAACCAAAGATGTCCCATGGAGAGCCTGAAAGTTTTAAATAATCCTTGAAAGGGAATTCTCTTGACAACTGAAAATATTCCTTTATTGGTGGACATTTAACATGGAGGTGGGCTAAAAGTCCTCAGCTCCTGCTGAGAACTAACTTAATCATGAGACTCAGCTACCTCTAGCATTCTGGACAAGGGAATCCATCTCCATCCAGACCACCCCGGTTGGTTTTCTCTTTCATGAGCTGAGTTGCCCTAAACTCTAATGGAGGGGTGCAAGGACAGGTGCTCCTTTCCCCAGGGTAAGAACTCACCCAGTCTGGATTCTGTTTATATAATTTATATAAATATATATATTTATATATTCTGTTTAGGTCTCCTATGTTTCTTGAGGGCTAAGGGCTGATTGGGTCCACTACAAAGTTATATTACATGACCTCAACTGGGCTCTCATTGCTGCTAGGCAATCTTTTTACATCTTCCTAATTAACTTACCATCCCATTCACCCCAGCAGCTCTTCTGCACCTTTTCATCTCTCTTCAAACCTCCTCTGACTCCTTCCCTCCCCCTCCCCTTAGATAAGAACCTTGCCTCATATTTTACTGAAAAAATTGAGGCCGTTCATTTAGAGCTCCCTCTTCTCCCCTGTTCCTCATCTTACAGATATCTTCTGCTGCTATCTTCTCCTTCACCTCCCATAGAGATTTCTCTCATGCTCCTCCTTTTTCCTCCGACTATCACCCTGGTACACACACTTATCTTACATCTGGATTATTGCAATAGCTTGGTCTCTCTGTCACAAGTCTCTCTCCACTTCAGTCCAGTGATCTTCCTAAAATGCAGGTCTGACCATGTTACTGCCCCCACCCCACTGAGATAAATTTCAGTGGCTCTCTATCACCTCCAGGATCAAATAAAAAACACTGTCTTTGGCATTCAAAGCTCTTCATAACTCTGCTGCCTCCTACTTTTTCAGTCTTCTTACATTCACCCCTGTCCCTTCTGCCCAAGTACTCTTTCATTCAGTGACATTGGCCTCTTTGCTGTTCCTTGAGCAAGACATTTCATCTCCTGGCTAGGCATTTTCACGGGCTGTCTCCCATACATAGAAAGCTCTCTCTTCTCATCTCTTCCTCCAGGCTTCCTTGGCTTCCTTCAAGCCCTCTCTGCTACAGGAAGCCTTTCCCAATCCCTCTTAATTCTAGTGCCTTCCTCTGTTGATTATTTCTGATTTATCTTGTGTATTGTTGGTTTGTACATAGTTATTTTCATATTGTCTCCTGCATTAGATTGTGAGATCTTTGAGATCAGGGACGATCCTTTATCTGTCTTTGTATCTGCATCACTTAATACAATTCCTGGCATGTAGTAGGCACTTAGTAAATGTTTATTAACTGGCTAACTGTCCTCCCATGAACTTGCTGGTCTAAATCTAATTCCTGCCAAATAGCTTTCCAGTTTTCTCAGAAGTTATTGTCAAATAGGTAGTTCTTCTCACAAGAATTTTGATTCTTGAGTTTATAAAACACAAGACCCATTTTTTAAATACTATTGTTGTTGTCCTTGTGTTATATGACTGTGAGTCGTGGAACCCTATGGTATCTGAAGGACTGAATAAATGAATGAATTAAAAAAGCATTTATTAAAAAACACTGTGCTGAGTGCTGGGAATACAAATATAAACAGAGAGACAGTTCTTGTCTTCAGGGAGTTTATATTTTAATAGAGGAAGATATGGGAATAGTGGCCCAGGAATGGAATGTTGCTCTATGGTGTCACAGAGATGGGGAGTTGATAGGTAAGTTAGTCAAGTGGCATGCTCTTTCCAGAAATACATTACTTCTAGAAGATCTGATTGCTCTGCCTAGGGTAAGAGTCTGAGAGGGGTTAGAAGAAGAAGGTATTCAGCCTCATACACTTGACATTTATTAGTTGTGTGACCCTGGGCAAGTCACTTAACCCCATTGCCTAGCCAAAAAAATAAATAAATAAATAAGTAGAAGAAGAAGATGTGCGTGGGGCAGCATGCAGATGTCAAGATGTCCAGGATAGACAGCTACCTGGCTGAATGAGGGGTGTGCTGAAGCGTGTCTGGTATCTAGAGTCATCTAGCAGATAAAGTAGAATACATGGGCTAGTTTGCACTTACCTAATCACCAATCAACAGGGCGGAGCCCTAGAGAAGGAGTTCCAAAAAATGAGTAGCTTCTTCTGGTGCAGGGAACATAGATTCTGGAGGTACAGGATGCGGAAGTCCTGGTAGGGGAGAAGGAGGGAAGCAGTGGCAAGCAGATGACAATATTGAAACTGGGAATGGACTAAAGGTCAATGCATAGATTCATGGCGGGCAGCAGTAGGTTGCTACACATCGCAGACGAGGAATTATGGAAGAGAAGCAGTGTCAAGCAAAGACAGAATTTTTTTTAATGTAATTAATTCATTTATTTTTAGTTTTCAACATTCATTTCCATAAGATTTTGAATTTTAAAATTTCTCCCCCTCCCTCTCCTTTCCCCTCCCCAAGACAGTGTGCAATCTAATATAGGTTCTACTTATATATTGATATGAAGCATATTTTCACATTAGTCATGATGTAAAGAAGAATTAGAACTGATGGGAAGAACCACAAGAAAGAAAAACAAAACAAAACAACAGAAGAAAAGGAGAGCAAATAGTAAGTTTCCATCTGCATTCAGACTTCAAATTCTTTTCTCTCGATGTGGATAATATTTTCTATCGTGAGTCTTTTGGAGTTGTCTTAGAACCTTCGAGCAAGGATATCATTAAAGAAACATCTGAACACATTGGTTACATGGCAAGAGCAAGAGATAGCTGATGGACAGCTTGAAAAGATCATTTAATGCACTTGTGCGCATTCATTTCTTTCCCCTTAAAATGGAGGGATGAAACATTTTCTCTACTTACCTCACATAGTTTGTGTAAGCAGCAAATGATGCCATACATGCCAAAGTAGAAAGCAAATACAAGGTGGTATTATTTAGCTTGAAAAAACTAAAGTAGAGGGAGAGCTGGTGCACGACCTTTGTACACAGATGATTATGCTCTCAAGGCAGCCTCTCGGGCTGAGATGCAACAGAGTGTGGATCGATTCTCTGCTACTTGTGCTAATTTTGGCCCAACAATCAACACCAAGAAAACAAAGGTTATCCACCACCCAGCACTGCACCATGCATATGTGGAACTATTTGTTACAGCAGATGAAGAAATTTTGAATGCTATGGATAAGTTCACTTACCTTGGCAGAATCTGCTCTCAAGTTTGGTGGCTTGTGGAGAGAGTAACAGACCTGGATTCAAGAAGACCTGAGTTCAAATCCAGCTGCAGACCCTTACTAGCTTGTTATAAATTCACTTATTCCCTGCCTCAATCTCCTCATCTGTAAAACAGGTATAATAATAGTACCTCCTACCCAGGGCTATTGTGAGGATAAAATAATATTAATAAAGTGCTTTATAAAACTTAAAGTGCTATATAAATGTCAGTTATCATCATCATCATCATCATCATTATCATCATCATCATCTTCACCTGTCAGGAGTTCTACATGCTCTAATAATAAGAATAAAAATAACAACAACCTATATTTATGTATCACTTTAAGACTTACAAAGTGCTTTTCTCATAACCACTCTGGAATCAGGGAAGAGATGGGCATACAATGACCTCCCCCTCTTCGGTTTTCTTATTAAACTGAACCAGAATAGTAAATATTTGAAACTAGAAGGAGAATGAGTTAGTTAAATTGGGTTCTTAAAATTCTTAGAGAGGACAAAACCTCACATTGAGAGGATGTGGAAATTTTGCCCATTAACAATGGGAAGGGAGAGAGAGAGGGAGAGAGAGGCACAAGGCCCTGCCTACCTGGATTTAAATCTTTCAGCTAGGTGGCTTAGTGGACAGAATGCACTGGGCCTGGAGTCAGGAAGACCTGAATTCGAATCTGCCCTCAGACGCTTACTAGCTATGTGACCCTGGGCAAGTTACTCAACCTCTGTCTGCCTCAGTTTCCTCAGCCTTAAAAAATAGGCATAATAATAGTACCTCCCTTCCAGGGTTGTTGTGAGGCTCAAATGAGACAATAGTATTAAAACTCTTAGCAAGATGCCTGGCACATAGTAGGCACTTAATAAATGCTTGTTCCCTTCCCCCATCTCCAGAGCCCTCTGCCTCCCCTGTGTGCCTGTCTGTTGCTCTCAGAACAGTATGCTTTTAGACTACTGGCAGAATTTCTGTCTTAATAGCTACAACCACAGGTAACTTGACATCCATAACTCCTCTCCAGGACCTCCTGGGGGAAGAATTGTTTATTATTTTCCAAGTTACTTCATACAATTTAAACCAGTATGTTTTCAGACTCCAAAACTATGAGTATTTTTCGCTCACACAAGTTACAAGTTTTAGTAATTAAAGACACAAGCAGAAACCACTCTAGTAAAACTGGCTTTAGGTTTAGCTCAGGTTGCTTCCTTGAAGGACTCCTCTATCCCGTTTCAAAAAGTAAGGACATTAAATATAAAGTTGAGTACAGTTGATTGGATTTTGTTAAAAACTCAGTCTCAGTTAAAATGACTTGAGTTTAAGAAACTTTCAACAACACCCTGATGCTAGAAAGAAGAAAATGAAGTACAGAATGTTAGTGTCATGCAATCTCACACTCCTGTTGGCATTAAGCTCCCTTTGTATACATATCCCCCGAGTAGCTCAAGAGCAGATACAGGCAATATTTTCTTAGACTGCTTGAAATAAGACCCAGTGTAGTGCTGGGATCCTTGATCTTTATTTAGCATGCTTCTGACCTTTGGAAACCTCATCTTTCTCATCTATGAATGAGGGGGTTAGATTAGAAGGTTTTTGAGGTCACTTCTAGCTCCAAATCTATGACTCTGTGATTCTACTTGAACCACTAACCCTCATCAGTTTGCTGTAAAGGCTAAATTATGAAATGTATGTGGAAGTGCAGTGTCCTCTCTGATGATTACTGTTTTGTGTAATCTTCAAGGTTGCTGATGTTCCATGACTTACAGTCATGTAGCCTCAATGTGAGAGCAATGTTATTAAAGATGGACTTTTATGGCTTTTAGCAGTTTGGGATGATGATGATGACGATGCTCCTGATTCTGATAGATTCCATTGCCCTAATTCCCCAGGGAACCTACAGAAAGTCAGTCAGTGCTATTGAATCATTCAGGATCTCTATTGGCTATTCCATTTTTTCAGGCTTGCCTTGTTGAATGATCCTTAGTGAATAAATGACTAAATCTCTGATTTCTTAGCTAACACTGACCTCCCTTGTACAAGTAGACTGGTTTATGTAGTGGAAACAGTGCAGGAAAACTGGATTTAAATCCCACCCCTGCTACTTAGGCCAGAGTGACCTTGAGCAATTCAATTCACCTTTCTTGGCCTCATTCCCTTATATGTAAAATGAAGGGATTGGACTAAATTACCTCTAAATTTTCTTCCATCTTTTGATATATGATCTTACAATGTTCTCATATGGTCTTTTCCTCTCTGTCCTCTGCAGAGCCATTGCCCTAGTCCAATGCCTATTCCATTATTGTTCCAGTTGAGTTCAATGGCTGAACCCCCTGCCATTTTCTTCGGTTTGCCCAAACCTGACTTGAGACTTCGTATGTGGGCCAGTAGAGTTAACACATTAGTAGAATCAAATGAACTAATGCGTAAAGCCGGAGAAACTGATGTGGTATCTTTCTCAGAAGCATTAGAAGGTAGAGCACTGGTTGGGGGCAGCTAGGTGGCGCAGTGGATAGAGCACCGGCCCTGGATTCAGGAGGACCTGAGTTCAAATCCGACCTCAGACACATAACACTTATTAGCTGTGTGACCCTGGGCAAGTCACTTAACCCCATTGCCCAGCCAAAATAACAAAAAAAACCTCCCAGCTTTATAGAAGGTAAAGCACTGGTGACTAATATTCTTCATATCTTGGATTCAAGCTAACCCTTGACTGAAGCTTATAGCTATACCTAAGTGAAGCCAAATTCAACTTCAGGATGGCAAATTGGCAACCCCACTGACATTAAATCAGTTGCTGGAGCAAGCCTCATGTTCATTAGAAGCAGGCTAATAACTGAAATCCTGTGAAATCTAGATACCCCAAACCTCATCAATTTTGCTAGCTTCTTTATTCTAGATTGGGGGTTCTCCAAGGTGACCTGGTTGAAAAGCCACAGCTTCCCACCATTAGCCCTGAAGACGGTAGGGTAAGTATTCTGTTTGTGTTTGCCTCCCTGTATGTTAACTGCTTTGCTGCAATGTGCCACTGAGTCTGAACATTTAATCTCAAAGAATCTTGGCTTTCTCGTGACCTGGAATAATTACATCCTTAGGATATCCAACTCTTGCACTGTGCCCCAAACAGCGAGATTAACTGCACAGTAAGACTGCTGCCAGGGATTTGAGCAGCTGCCAACCAACCTCACCTGTGGTGGGCCTGTCCCACTTAAAAGAGCTTTCCAGCTGCTCCAGAAGAGTGTAGCCTTTGCCAAGGAGCTCTCCCTAGTGCAGGGATGCATGGCCAGCCCATTTATTTATTTATTTTGGTTATTTTTTTTAAGGGCTCAAATGCCAACATAGAAAATTATGAAACCACTTGACAAAAACAATTCTGTCGACTTGGGGAGAGAGATTTGCTGTTCTGTCAACTGAAGAAACTTGTTCCAGGAGGACCAAATTGGAAAAGAAATCTCTTCTCCTTCAAAATGTCAGAACCTGAAATATCACATGTTTTGGCCCAGCTGTTGCATAAGCATTAGTGAGTTTTTTTAAACCATCAGTAAGCAGAGAACAGAAGTAATTTTTCACTTGAAAATGTCAAATTCAAGGTATAATGAAAATTTCACATCATGTTATTTTCAGGGTATTTTAAAAAATGGAATATATAGTCTGAGCACTGGCCTATGAGATGCTTCCCTTCTTCCCTTCAGTATCTGATTTTAAACTTGGCAAGCATGTGGATATATTCTTGTCCATGTGTATATGTTTACATATTTATCCCTTTGGGTCTAGGACACAAGTAAACATGTACTTAGAATCTAATGCCTTTATTTTATTATCATCTTCATTGAGGCAACAATAGTATAGTGAAAAGCTTGCTGATAGAGGACCTAGGTTCACATTCCGACCTGCTACTTAATACCTAGATGACCTTGGGCAAGGTACTTAACCTTTCTGAGCCTCTGTTTCTTCATCTGTAAAACGAGGGAATTGGACCAGATGGGATCTAAAGTCCATTTCAGGTCCGGCTCTGAGTCTATCTATGGTCACCACGATCATTATCATGGCAGCTCAGTAACAGAGTAGATAGAGCATTGGGCCTGGAGACAGGAAGATCTGAGTTCAAATACAGCTTCAGATACTTACTAGCTATATGACCTGGAGCAAGTCATTTAACCTCTGTCTGCCCACTTCCTTCTTTTCAAAATGAGGATAATAATTGTACCTGTTGTGAGGATCAAATGAAACAATAATTTCCTTTTCAGAAACAGATTCCTCCTTTGTACCATCTCTCTCTGTCTCTGTCTTTGTCTCTCTCTGTCTCTTTCTCTCTCTTTCTCTCCCTACCAGGTATGAGATGTCCTATGCCCCTTTTGACTGATTTGATTATTTTTCTCTTCTGATCTATTGTAGATTCTCTCTATTCTACTTTTGTTTCTTGCATGTCAGTTTTACAGTCACACAGAGTTCAGGGACTGGTAATGAGGAAAGCACTTAACCTTTTTGCATTGAGGCATCTCATGTATAGCAAGCATTTCTTCCTGGAAAAAATTCATGACCCTGTGGAGACTTAAAAAGTGCTCCAGGGTGGAAACGAAAGGCATAGGGAGGTAATTGACTCCTCCTCCCTTGAAGTCTTCAAACAGAGGTTGCATGACCAATAATAGTTAGTGATGTTATCAGGGAGATTTTTGTTCAGGTCCAGGTGGCACTTGATGGGCTCTGAGATCTCTGAGGTTCCTATTCTGAGAGTATGTGATTCCATGACAATTCTAGTCTTCTGGGCTTCTTGGTTCTCTTCTAACCACAACTGAAGGTACTTTTAAAATTGTTAATTTAATTATTCATTAATAAATCAATTAAATTAATTGAAGGTACTCTTTAAAATTTAACTGACAATGGCTAGTAGAAGGGTTAAAATATCTATCATTTTTCTGTCTATCTAAAGTTATTATTATGCCCCAGCACAATCAATCAGGTGAATCAAGACAGACAATTGTACTTTCATTCATATGGCTGGACAGAATATAAGTAACATATGTAGTAGAC